TGTGGGAGAGGAGGCTGTGGGAGAGAAGAACCCCGTGCAGAAGGTTGTGAAAAGCGATGGCCTCGGCACCTTGGGGTTGGGGTCAAGAGGGTGACGGGTGAGGCCATGATTTTGGTGTCTTAGAGGAGCAACCCGAGGGTCCACAGGCTATTTCCTGAGAGGAACAGAATCAAGCCACTCACTCTCTTTATGGCCAACGTGCCCTCTAGCCTATGCTTTTGACGCCCTCTATTGACAAGAGGCATTGCGGCGTACATGGGGGTCCAGGGCCCAGGCATCTTCTCTCTGCTCAACTTAATTTTCTAACAACAGAGGGATACCTAGGTTTTTATTTGGATCCACTTTTTTAAAATATATTTTATAATTTTTTACAGAGAGGAATGGAGAGGGATAGAGAATTTGAAACATCGATGAGAGAAAAACATTGGTCAGCTGCCTGCTGCACGCCCCCCCACTGAGGATGTGCCCACAACCAAGGTACATTCAGTCCACTGAGCCAAACCGGTTAGGCTGGATCCACTTTTTAAGGCTTTACTTAGATATATGTATAACTGGCAAGCAATGAAATGTATTTTCCTAATGAGTACTATTTGGTGAGTTTGAACATTTGGATGAAGCTCTGAAACGTTCACAGGTAAAATAAGTTTCTCTGTCACATATACCCTTGGTGGGACAAAAGTAGGCTTACAGTTGTGAGTATACGAAACACAGAGTTTATTCTTTTTTCTTAAATAGCTATGTTATATATTTTAAATGATATTTTTATTAATTTCTGGGAAAGAAGGGAGGAGAGAAACATCAATCTTCCAACTCCTGTAAGCCTACAACTGGGCACATACTCACTGATTGCCTATGGGCGTACCAAAGGTCAATTTAGATGTTTGTCCATTAGTAGGCACGATAATGCCTACAAATAATGAAAAATATGAACAAATCTATTTCAAAAGAAGTTATATCAATGCCAGCATGGAGGTCTTGGGAAGCAGAAAGAGTATAAAAGGGTTGTATGCAAATGGAGAAGGTAAGAGAGAAGTAGATTATGGAGGTGGCGAGCTATAATTGAGTATGCAAATTAACCCCCAAAAAATATGGCAATTAATTTGCATACATAGGTGCCCAGCGCCTGTGTCCCAGGAACATCCTGGCACCCAGGTCACTGTGAGGTAAGGCCGTGTGGGCCCAGAGCAGCCTGGGAAGGGCCTGAGCCAGGGGGCTCCTGGGAAGGGCCAAGCCTGCAATCAGAACAAGGGGCAGGATTGGAGCCTCAATCCATCGCAGGGAGCTGGGGTCCGCTCCTGCAATCGAGGCTTTCAGCCTGGGCAGCCTGGGCAGGGGCGGAGCCGGCGATCACAGGGAGTGGAGGGCCCTGCCCAGGCCTAAAGCTTTGGCCAGAGGCTTTAGGCCTGGGCAGGGCCCAGCCCACAATTGGTGTGAACTACAGAGGAAACACCTTTTCTGACTGCTCATTGGCTAAGCTCCCTGCATGCCACTGGTAATATTCTTAGTAACTTGGGTAATAAGTATCTAAAAAGGTGATCTGGGGTTTTTCCTTGGGAAAAAAACAAAGACCCGCTGCTGGAGGATAAGAAATGTCATGTCCTGCCCTAGCCTGTTTGACTCGGTGGATAATGCCTTTGTCTGCCGACCGCAGGGTCTGGTTCGATTCTTATCAAGGGCATGTACCTAGGTTGCAGGTTCCTCCCTGGCCGGGCCCCAGGTCAGGGCTCATGCAGGAGGCAACCAATCAAATTGTTCCTCTCACTTTGATCTTTCTCTCTGTCTTTCGCTTTCTCTTCCACATTCTCTAAAAGTCAGTGGAAACATATCCTCACGTGAGGATAAAAAATAAAGAAATGCATATTCTATGAAAGACACATCTTGAAGATGCCTTAAAAAAAGTTATCATTTTTTCTTGATGAAGGAATTGGAGTGTGTGTTGATGAAAACACACAAAATCAAGATAGCTGCCTTCATGTGGTCAAAAATCTTGCCTCATGACACAAGATGGCCAGCAGGGGAGGGCAGTTGGAGGCACCAGGCCTGCAAAGGAGGGCAGTTGAGAGGGACCAGGCCTTCAAGGGAGGGCAGTTGGAGGCGATCAATCCTGCAAGGGAGGGTAGTTAAGGATGACCAGGCGAGCAGAGAAGAGAAGTTGGGGGCAAACAGGCTGGCAGAGGAGCAGTTAGACATCAATCAGGCTGGCATGGGAGTGGTTAGGGGGTGATCAGGCTGACAGGCAGAAGCAGTTAGGGGCAATCAGGAAGGCAGGCAGGTGAGCAGTCGGGAGCCAGCAGTCCTGGATTGTGAGAGGGATGTCCGACTGCCCGTTTAGGCCTGACCCCACAGGCAGATGGACATCCCTTGTGAGGTCCCAGATTGGAGAGGGTGCAGGCTGGGTTGAGGGACACCCCCCTCCCCCACCCCCATGCACAAATTTCATGCACCAGACCTCTAGTAAAATATTTTTTTAAAGAAGTCTTTAAAAAATAAAAAGAGGGAATTATTAAAAATGGGAGAAAATCAGATCTAGAGGAGCTTTGTGACAACTTTGGAGTCTGCTCTGCAGATGATGGGAGTGTGGCAGATTTGCAGCAGTGGTGGCAGGTGATCTGAACCAGGTCTCATTAGACTCCTGGTGGCTGCAGCATGATGAACAATATGCCTGTGAGGAGGAGGAAGAAAGACTAGAAAGGAAGCAGCTGTGATGGATTGGATCCCTGAGATGGTAACTGGCTCATGATGGTGGCTGTGGAGATGGAAGTAGCAGTTGCATTCAGGATCGGTGATTTAGGTGTGGCCAACTGGATTTTCTAATGTTGGGGTTGAGAGAGACAGAGAGGTAATAGAGTTGAAATTAAGGCTTGGATTTAGCACCTGAATGTATGGAAACATCATCAACTCAGATGGAGAAATTCATAGTAGGAAGTGTTCTGTTCATAGGAAATACAAAAACTTTTATTTTCTGGCCTGTTAGGGTATTTCAGAGAGCAGTTCAAGAGCATCTAGAATTTGATGGGCAGTTCAATAGAAAGACTGCCTTAAATGTAGTGGAAAATGTATAGACCACATAGAAGTTGTAGATCACCTTTGTGTGTGTGTGTGTGTGTGTGTTTTGAATTGGATGCCAAAGAGTATTTCAAAGAAGATGAGACTGTGGTTGGTGCTTATTTTCTTCTCTAAACACTTACCAGGTTTGTTGTTGTTTTTTTGTTTGTTTGTTTGTTACCATTGCTGTGGCTGGGTTGTTGCAATCAGTTTAGTGCAGTGGTTGGCAAACTCATTAGTCAGCAGAGCCAAATATCAATAGTACAACGATTGACATTTCTTTGAGAGCCAGATTTTTTAAACTAAAACTACATAGGTAGACACATTGTTATTAGCTTAATTAGGGCACTCCTAAACTGGCCTTTGCTAAAAACTCAAGGGGCCAAAGAGCCGCCTGTGGCTCACGAGCCAGTTTACCTGCCATTGGTTTTGTGGAATAGTTTAGGGGCGTGAGTGGTCATCTCTGAGCTCACTGGGCATGGAGTAGAGGGCCACAAGTGATGGGATTTAAGTGATGAAAGGATGAGACTGGTGAAGAGACATCAAGTGCAGTAACAGTGAAGGTGGGCTCTGAGTATCTGAGATCTGATGTGGTTCACATTAGGTGAGGTGGGAGGGAAAGAAAACAATCAGGGATGGAGACCTCCGGAGCAGGACACAACACTTCCTCTATGGTTGTCAGCTATGAGATTATGGACAGTACATCACCCAGATTGAATTTTCTAGCATTCTCTGGGACGTACCTGCTCAATAATGAGTGTGAGGCCAAGGAGATGACTATGGGTGCTTAGGATATGGGAGTGCAGGTGTGTCAGGTGTGGTAGAAAAAAATATTATGCACTTGGAGAGGGTATGTGAATTCATGGCTGCAGGGCCCTGACATTAACATAAGAATGAAAGTGGATAGAGCGTCAGCCTGATGACTGAAGGGTCCCAGGTTCGATTCCGGTCAAGGGTATGTACCTTGTTTGAAGGCACATCCCCAGTGGGAAATGTGCAAGAGGCAGCTGATCGATGTTTCTCTCTCATCGATGTTTCTAACTCTCTATCCCTCTCCTTTCCTCTCTGTAAAAAATCAATAAAATATGTTTTAAAAAAAAGATGGAAGAAGGGTGAGTCCATTTCTGGTGGGGACTGGATGGTATGACATGGGGAATTTAAGGATAATTCCTGAAAAGAGAAGTTGTGGTTCTACATGCCAGATGAAGAGCTCACATTACACACACACACACACACACACACACACACACACACACACACACACAACTGCCGTTTCTTGTTGAGGGCTGCCCCATGATCAGTAGGAATGAGATAACATCAGCGTCACCTGAGCTTGAAAACCTCCACTGGCATGAGGAAGGGAGATGATAAGGGGGAAATACATTATAGAGGTGATAAATTAGAATTTTGAAAGAAGAAACTAATTAGGAAACAACCTGTCCTTGTCATAGCATTTTCGTATTTCCAGGGAGTTTGTGCCTCTTGGAATGAAGCTGCATGAGAATTATGTGACAAAAGGTGTTGTAGTGAAATGTAATGGCCTCAGCAATCTGGGTTTGGAGTCAGAAGGGTGAAATGTGATGCCATGTTTTTTGCGTCTTGGAGGGAAATTGAGAGAAAACACGCATATTACCCGACAAGACCAGTGCCAAATCACTCACACTCCCTTTATGTGCAACTGCTCTTTTTACCCTAAGTTCCTTACACCCACTGTTATTGAGAAGGCTCAGAGCACAGGTATCTCCTATCTGCTCAACTCCTGTTGTTGTTGTTGGAATTCACAGCATCAGTCGGAATATAAGAAAAGATTGACTTTGATGGGACCTGTGCCTGGTATCTTCTCTGATGTGGGGAATAGCCCTCTACAGATGGATGTGGTGAGTTAAGAATATGACAGAATTGGAATATTAGAAGAGAATCTGATCATGGCTGAACTTTCCCCATTATGACAGGATATGCACTTTGAGGATGTGGTCATTGCCTTCTCTCAGGAGGAGTGGGGGATCCTTGATGAGGCTCAGAGACTTCTGTACTGCGATGTGATGCTGGAAGTTTTTGCTCTTATATCATCTCCAGGTAAGACGTTCACATCTCTCCTAGTGTCCTGAGGTGATGTTCTCTCTTACTTTATTCTCCAGGCATAGCACATTCTCTCTCTCACAACCAACCCATCGGTTCTGCAAATATTCCTGTCTTTTCAAATGTGCTATGGCTGCCAGTGCTGAGCACTGTGGAAAGCCCAGAGCAATAGACTCCACAAACTTCTCTTACAACACTTGCTTCAGCAAGTGCTTGAAGTTCCTGGGAGTCAGGGGTCTTACAGACAGCTTAATTGATCCCAGTTGCTGTTTCTTCCTGGAACAGTGACTATACTCAGATCCATGGCTTCCATTTCTACCCCTTTCCTATAGCTAAATTCCTGGGTGACTGACTGTGCCAGATTATGGTCTTTACTCGCATGAACCATGTACTGTTCTTGTCAGACCTTCCTTCATACCAGGTACCAGTTCTTTTCCATCAGTGTTCAGATGCAGGTGCCACTGGCTATACCACATTTCTACCTTATCTTTTACCAACTGTACTCTTTCTGACATGTCATTTCACCCGTGACTTCCTGGCTTTAGGCTACGCTAACCTTTATGGCATTTTTACATCATCTGCTCCTGGGCATTGCTGCCCCTGCTGTATTCTTTAACACATGTGTTATGAATTGCCCATACATGCTTAAGTAGGTTTCAAACACCAACTACTCATTTATTCAATTTTTCTGGAAATAAGACATAAGCAAAATTCTGCAGAGCTTGCCTATGTCACCTGCAGCAAGCTCTACTGAACACTTTTAGCCTAAGAAAGGACTGGAAGTCTTAGCTCTCTTCCATGTGGTGCTTCCCATCTTTGTGTCATATTTCTGGTGTGGTCTTCCTTCCTTTATGATATGCAGAGGCCCAGAACTTCACAGAATAATCTTATTAGAACTTCCTTCACATCTCTTCTTATCTGAAAATTGCATGGAGCCCAGGTGTCATGGGCGACACACTTTTGTAATGGAACTTCCCCCTGTCACCACAGTCCTCATTCGTTTCCTCGCCTTTTTTCTGTTTTCAGGTTGTTGGCATAAAAAGGATGAGGAAAGGGCCTGTTCTGATCAGAGTGTGTCTGTACAAGGAGAGTCACCCATCAGGGCTTCTAAAACAGCTCCAGCAATCCAGAAGTCACATTCCTGTAAGCGGTGTTTCACAGTATTGAAAGATATTTTGCACCTGACTGAGTTTCAAGCAGAATACTTTGAACACAAATGCTTCTTCAGTGACTCATGTGTGAGAGACTGCTGTTTCAGTGCAAACCCTCACCAGCAACAGAAGGATGTCAGTGGAGAGATCTCCTGGAAAGAAGCTATGGTCAGACCCTCATTTATTACCAAGTGTAGTTTCTATTCATCAGAGGTTCCTTCAAACAACAGGGAGGTTAGGGAAGATGTCCCGTCTTCCTCAGAGCTCCTCCAGCCCCAGACTTCTCAGAACACTGAGGAGCCACATAGTGGCAGTGAGGTTTTCCAAGAATATCTCAGTGGAAAAAGTCATCACCAGTGGGCTGAACTTGAAAAAGCTGCCAGCAAGAAACAGAAAGTTGTTGAGAGTCATGGTGTCTGTTCTGGAGAACTGATTTATGATTGTGACAATTGTAGGAAAGTTTTCAGAGGAATCTTTAACCTCAATCAACATATGAGAGTTCACACTGGAGAAAATCCATTTTGGTGTACATATTGTGGGAAGTCCTTCAGTCATAGTTCTAAACTGATTAAACATCAGAGGATTCACACTGTTGAAAAGCATTTCAAGTGTAGTGAATGTGGGAAGTCTTTCAGATATAAGTCTCATTTCAACATACACCAGCGAGTTCACACTGGAGAAAAGCCATATGAGTGTACAGGTTGTGGCAAGTCCTTCAGTCAGAGCTCTAAACTGACTCAACATCAGAGAGTTCACACTGGAGAAAAGCCTTATAAGTGTAGTGAGTGTGGGAAGTCCTTTGGAAGTAATTCCGAGTTCAATAAACACCAGCGAGTTCACACTGGAGAAAATCCATTTTGGTGTACATATTGTGGGAAGTCCTTCAGTCATAGTTCTAAACTCATTCAACATCAGAGAATGCACACTGGAGAAAAACCTTTTAAGTGTAGTGAATGTGGGAAGTCCTTCAGATATAAGTGTGATGTCAATAGACACCAGAGAGTTCACAGTGGAGAAAAGCTATATGAGTGTACAGCTTGTGGCAAGTCCTTCAGTCAGAGTTCTAAACTCATTCAACACCAGAGAGTTCACACTGGAGAAAAGCCTTATAAGTGTAGTGAATGTGGGAAGTCCTACAGATATAAGTGTGATGTCAAGAAACACCAGCGAGTTCACAGTGGAGAAAAGCCATATGAGTGTACAGGTTGTCAGAAGTCCTTCAGTAAGAGTTCTAAACTCATCCAACATCAGAAAATTCACACTGGAGAAAAGTGTTAGAAGTGTAGTGATTTTGGGAAGTTCTTCACAAGTATGTCTAATGTTAATAAATACCAGCAAGTTCACACTGGGGGAAAGCCTTGCGTGTACAGATTGTGGGAAATCTTTTGCCAAATGAGACTTCACAGTGGAGATAGGCCTTAAATGTGTAGTGAATATTTTCTTTTTCTTACCCAGAATAACAACACTGAAGGAGAATCTATGATACACTTTTATCTTAATATGATCCCTTTTTATCAGGACAAACCCTGTGCTAGATTCCCCAAGTTTCAGGTACCAGTGAGGCTTTAAGGAGCTGCCTACACTGGCTTTCCTGCCCAGGTCTACTATGTGATTGATGTCACTGTGAGGTTTATGGCTGAAGTGATTTCTCCTCTACCACCTGGCCCACCTCTACAGTGTGAATCAATCACAAACCCTGCATGTTCTTTTGTGCTTGAGTAAATTTTCAATATTTTGAGCACACCCTAGGAAGTTTGACACAGTGAATAATGTGTTTGCAGATAGAAGGGTCCTGGTTTTGATTCCAGTCAAGGGCACATTCTAGGGTTGTGGGCTTGATCCCCAGTGGGATGCATGGAGGAGGCAGCTGATCAATGATTGCCTCTCATCATTGGTGTTCCTATTTCTACCTCTCCCTTCCTCTCTGAAATAAATAAAATTCTTTTTATAAAGGAACAACTGGCAAAATTTAAAGTCACAGATTTGTAAATAATAAATACAAAAAGAAATATTCTGAACTCTTGGCAGGATCTTCATTCCTTCCTCTCTGACCAGGAATGAGCCTGACTCAGGGTTTGTCCAGAATACTCATCTACAGCGAAGAAGTAGCCCTCTTAAGGTGGTTCTCACGTTGTGCTGTGATGATTGGCTTATGTTCTAGTTCACCAATCTGAACCCCTGGGCTCTGGTGTTTTTCTGTTTTACCTTTCATTATGTTGGTTCTATTTACTGCATGCCATGACTTGAAAGCACTGTTGTGATCTGTCAGCAAGAGGATGTGAACAGATATTGTGGAGACATCAAATCTTCACTGCTTCTGAAGGGAGAGCATGATGGCAGAAAGACACTCTTTGCCCACAACCTGCTTATCTTGCATTGCTGCCCAAGGCCTTGAAAGAAAGAAAGTATGGCTTTGTACTTTTAATTTATATCCCAGAACCTTGGTTATTGATGAGGTCAGTGGTCACCCAGAAGAGGAGGATTTTGCTGTCCTGTTCACAATAGGAGTTATGTTCTGTTCACAGTATGTGTTACATACATATAAACAGTGTTTAGCGGAACTCCTCCCCATGAACTGCAAAGCAGCCATGTGCCATGGAATATGAAATTTCATAGTCTTGTGACACTTGTTTTAAGACTGAAGTTAAACTACTGACAGAAACACTATATCTATAGTGATGGGAGAGACTGCATTAAATTAGATCAAAAATGTCTCTTGAACGTAAATCCAATATTCCTGGGCCTATTGATTGTGTCTTTTGTGTACAGACATTCTCAGCACCTCTAAAATGTTTCCTGTAGCTGAAGTCATTGGCAGAGAAAATCATGTAATTGTTTTGAGGATTCTCCTGGTTTCTATAAGGTGTTCCCCTCAAGGTCATTTCTCAATATGTAAGAATTCAGTGCTGAAGGAAGAATAATCCTGTAATCAGTCCCAGGATGTGTCCTTTGTAACCAGTCAGCATTCATGTTGATTCCATGGCAGTAGTGTTCCCTGCTTGCTACTATTTGTTGTCATTGAGGCAAAGCTACTCCTCTCAGGAAATGAGCACTGACATGTAAGAAAGTGCACTTTTGCCGAAACCGGTTTGGCTCAGCGGTAGAGCGTTGGTCTGCGGACTGAAAGGTCCCAGGTTCGATTCCAGTCAAGGGCATGTACATTGGTTGCGGGCACATCCCTGGCAGGGGGTTGCAAGAGGCAGCCAGTCGATGTTTTTCTCTCATTGATATTTCTAGCTCTCTATCTCTCTCCCTTCCTCTCTGTAAAAAATCAATAAAATATATTAAAAAAGAAAGTGCACTTTTCTAATGTGTGTTATTTTATCAGCCTTGACCTAGAAATAAAGCTTTGAAACATCTTTCACTGTATTCAAGTAGTGACAAAAGTAGACTTTCAGTTGTGACTACACAAACCACACTGCGTATGCTTTTTAAAAAATATTAAAAATACCTTGTATTTATTTATTTACTTACTTTTAGGAAAAGAGAAGGGAAGAGGGAAAGAGTGAGAACTCACTCCTACACTACACTTACTGGTGACCCAGGAGGAACTGTGTACTGACCTGGAATTGAACCAGGATATTTCAGTGCACTGGATGATACCCACCCAGCTGAGGTATCTGGTGGAAGCAGAGTTTATTCTGGTATTTTTACATATTATACCAACAACTCTACTCCTACATTTCTTACACTCTACATTTTCCTCCTGGCCTTTTATAATCTCTCTTTCTGACTTTCCCAGTCTTCCATGCAATCATTCATTTTCCATCCTTTAGGTTATTTCATATTTTTCATAAATTTATATGCAGTATAAGCTGTATACTTTTTTACAAATACTGATTTCCTTAATGTCACAGATATTTTGAGATATTGAACTTGTTTTGTTGCTGAGTAGTATTGTATTCTATTGATAACCACTTATCTACTGATCTTTATAAAATTGGTTAGTTCCAGATTTGGGATATTATAAATAAATCTAGAATATTTGTGTTCAGTTATTGTTATAGATCTTTACTAATCAAACATTTGCAGTCTAGGTTAATGTTTTACATTTTAAAAAAACATGTATATTTTTTATTGATTTCAGAGAGGAAGAGCGGGGGAGAAAGAGAAACATCAATGATGAGAAAGACTCATTGATCAGCTGCTTTCTGCACTCCTCCCACTGGGGATCAAGCCTGCAACCCAGGCATGTGCACTTGACTGGAATTGATCCAGGACTCTTGATTACGCAAGCCGACGTCTATTCACTGAGCCCAACTGGCTCGGACTAATGTTTCACATTTTAACATTTGCAGAACTGTGATCTAAAATGCTCATGCACATATATACCAGCACTTCAAATAACCATTATTACCCGTTGAAAGACAATCCTGGCTTTCCCAGTGCTTTGAATGCAAATTCTCAGTATTTTAACATCCAGTAGAGATGTTATGGTTTTGTTTGTTTTTTGGGGTTTTGTTTTTTTTTATATATTTTATTGATTTTTAACAGAGAGGAAGGGAGAGAGATAGAGAGCTAGAAACGTCGATGAGAGAGAACCATCAGCCAGCTGCCTCCTGCACACCCCCTACCGGGGATGTGCCCGCAACCAATGTACATGCCCTTGACCGGAATCGAACCTGGGACCTTTCAGTCTGCAGACCGATGCTCTACCACTGAGCCAAACCGGCTTTGGCAAGATGTTAAGGTTTTAAAACGAATCCCCAATATTGTGGAACACTCTTACACATACATTCCCCTGGTCTGTTATCTTGAGCTTTCAGACTGTTTACATTTTAATACTGGTATATAGGAGCTTTTTAAAGGAACATTATTACTACTTTGGACACAAGCTTAGCTATCATTTTCATTTCTTAGTGCTTCAAATACTTTCATACTGTTATATAGCTCTAAAAAAAATGAATTATTAAGTGTTTCACCAAATTTTTGCCAAAAACACCAACTCATTTTGACCGGAAAAATAAATAGAAACAGTACCATACTTAGCTCTCAGCCTTTCAACACGTTTTAGCTATGACAACATCGTGTTGTTCAGATATTTAATGCATTTGAACATGTATTCCTAGTGTATGAAGCATATTTCTAAATATTTTCCTAATCTGTAGTTTTGAATTCTCAGTGTTAAAATCACATTTTCCAGTGATTCATTCATTGTGAATTCCAAATGCTAATACACCATAACCCCTACTGGAACCCTAACCCTAACCTGAGACTGAACACTAGCCCTAACCTAACCCTATCCCTAACGCTGGCCCTGTCCCTGAAACTGACACTCACCCTAGACCTAACACTGATAGCATGGTCACTCCCAGCATGTCTCCTGGCCCAAACCATTACCACCTGAGCACTTGAGCCTCTCCACGTGGCCCCGCCCACTTGATGATGTAGGCACCTCCGGTTTCAATGCTTAACCAACATTCTTTCAAAAATGCCAACTAACCATTTAATTTAATTTTAGAGCCAGGGAGAGAAACCAAGATGGCGGTGTAGGTAAACAACTGGTCTGCTGCCTCACACAACAATTTCGAAACTACAACTAATATACAGGATGTCTATCGCCCAAAAACATGGGAAGGCTGGCTGAAAGAGAAAGGAGCGCAAGCCCTGTAAAGCTGAGGAGCCTAGGTACAGAGGCACGCGAATCGGGCTGGTGGCGGACGACTGGGCACAAGGCTTTTTTCAACCCGAAGGGAAACAAGCTCCCAATCACTTTGAAATCCAGTTTCTGGGGTCGCAAGGGGGACCCAGACACCTACGGGGGACCCAGACACCTACGGGGAAAAGCTGGTCTGTGGGTCATCAGGTCCGAAAGTGAGGGTGACTCTCTTGCAGAGGTACACCCAGCAATCATTGTTTACTGCACTGGAGCCCAGAGACGCGGGGACTTGGAAATGTGGGGACTTGGAAACACGGAAGGGCAGAAAAGGCTGATGGCAGCCATTGCTGTTTGCCATGCTCCCGCCTAGTGAAGTCCTGAGACCCTGCCCCAGGGCGCCACCCCGCACATTCTACAGACCCACCCAGGCACCACACAGCTGCTTTTGCACATAAATGGCCTGTATTGTAGCAGCTTAAGGAAAGAAATTGCAGCTCCAGCAACAAGACCACCAAGTCCCAGGCATAGAGGACAAAACTGTAGTTCTCGCGGTAGCTCCTGATAGGTGGCCTCAGACAGTAGCTGAACTGAACCCCATTGGAGATCCAGAAACTAGTGTATCTAGTGGTCGGTGTGAGACGACACCAGATTTCAACTAATCTCATAAGGGACACATTCA